GTCGGCACCGCAGTCATTGCTACCACCCGTGAATCCATAGAGCCAACAACAAGGCGGGCCGCGGGGCGGGACTCTGGCGCCGGCCGCGTCTCAGGCAGGGGCATGGGCACCGTCGGCTTGGGGTGCATAGTGGCCACAACGACATCTGGCACTGGCCCCGGCATCTCCGTAGTCTCAGGCGAGGTCGTAGGCGAAGTTGATGAAGTTTTGGGGGCTTGACACATCGGCCGAACATTGGCAACACCACTACTCTTCAATATATCCGCTACATCATGGGGCGTCACCCCAGCTGGCAGGATGAGAGCAGTCCCAAAGTTGAAATTGATCCCGCCAGTCACCTCAATTTTTGAGCATCCGTTCAACAATTCTGCAAATAAAAAAAAAAAAAAAAAATTAATAAAATTTTATATTCACCAACAAGAAACATAAACACACACACACACACACACACACACACTCTCACCTATATCAGAGTTATGTTAAAAAAAAAAAAAAAAAAAAAAAAAAAAAAAAAAAAAAAAAAAGAAACCTCACCACGGGCAAATTCCATTTTCAAAAACTTCGCTTGTGGGCTTCTAATGATGACCAGAACCAAGGGCGTTCGTCGGTGGGCAAGTTAAGTCAATGGGCCTTAGGACTGGGCTTATATATATACCCCTAAAAACCTCTACCCCTCCCCCCCCCCCCCCCCCCACCCCCTCAGGCAAGCTAGGTCACCTGCTCACACAGGTTATTGCACGCCTCCTGGGAATCATCTCCCAGGCAAAATGTTGTTTGACAGAGCGGCATATTCAGGTTATCATACGTAAATTTCACAACCAAAGCGTCATTTTTGCTGTGTTGTTCATATTTAAAATCCTGCGCAAATTTCCGAAGCGCTTTTCCCACCCCTAGATGGGATAAATAGTAGGTGAAGTATAACGCATAGTTCCCGCAGAAATAAGTTTCCAACTGCTGTATTCTGTCATTGAATATGTGCAAATCATATTTTTCAAAGCTATTCAATATAACCTTAAAATATTTCGAATACGTTTCAATTCTCGGGTTTCCAAAACTATCCAGAATGACAATTTCTGTCTTAGTCATTGCTTTGGCTATACAAAATGTAACCCAATGACCCATTGTATCTGCAGATTCTGCATCTAGTGTATTAATTATAAATACCACAGGATGGTTATAGATCTTTTTCAAAATTTTTCTTGCATCATTGGCGAGATAACATCCCAGATATTGCACCTCCCGACCCAACACCCCGTTCAGCGCTTCGTTAATTTCAAGACAATTCATAGCTTTACGCTCTCGTATCACAAACTATTCTACGTTCCGCATTAATTTTCAGGATGCCAGTGGTGCCACCATAAAGCAAAATGACTTTATTTCCCACCACAGGTATTTTAAATTCTAGACTAATTCTCAGGTTGCCAGACACTTCCAGGGGCATTGCGTCCTTTATAGTTTCAGGCTGTAAATTGAAAGCCAGTATAGTGCCACCGTTAACAAATGCGTCATAGGATAGCGTGTGGGCATTATCGAAACCTAAAGCTTGTAGTGTCGCATAATATAATTTTGCGCAGTTGTGTGGAAAAGCGCAAGCAATATTAAATAAAGTAGTGCTATTCAGAGTTATAAATACACTCGTGAGCTGACAATTCTCAAAATATAATGGGTTCTGGGCATAGCCTCCTGACATTGCCTCCATATCTACGATAATCATGTATAAACGCTCAGGAACTACAGTTCCCCAGGGCTGATCCATTGTAATTGTCCGCTGTCCTGTGCCCAGTATATAAGTCTTTAATAGGGTTTTGTTAAACGTATATGTTATCGGGGTGTTATTTTGTATCAATGCCTTATTAATGGCCGTTAAGCCGGCCGGGTATGGCATTATGCGATCTATCCACAACCTCGCCATCTTAATATGGTATTTAAAGTTTGCATTATCCCTTTCGCTATGAATAATCCATTTATCCGGGTTCAGTTCGAGGCGAATGCGCACATCCACATTATCCAGAACGTATTCGCTAATTGTAGTAACATCCGCCAATAATTTAAAGCATGTGTGCACACCCGTAGTTTTCATCTCAGTCATTTGCTGCTCCCTTTCCTCAGTCATTGCAGCAAAATATTCGTCGGAAAATCTGCTGGGGTCATTACCTTTAAAGAAATGCGCTAGTTTCCGATATCTCTCAGCTTCGCACCCCGAAATAGTAGTCAGCAGCTTTATATAACTCCAGTATGAGAATAGAGAGTTAGTTTCGACCACAGTCTCATTGAAATACACTACTATAGATTTGAATAAAGTCTGTGATAGACCATTACTAATTGTTACATTTTCTGTATCCCCTATCGCACTAGCTCCATCTTCGCCCGTTACTGCTAGCGATAGTTCCAAAGCCAATGACGACATATCTAGAAAGTGGCCATTCACGCCTTTAATGTTAAATTCAAGATACGTATCTCTAAATTTATTGCCCCCAGTATTTACTGGCAAAACATCAATAGTTTGACGCGAGGCTATAGTAGCCTCTACCATCCTAGCGGAGAACGGCTTGGGAAAGGCGTCAGTTATTGCAGCGGCATAATTCCCCAGTGGTACTTGTAGCCCCGCCATGCTATCTTGTCAATAGTTGTTTCGAGAGTGATTCAATTTTTAAGCAAACACGTCATTATATTTCCCTCCGTCGATTTTCCTGAACAAATTTCTTGTTTTGCTTTGTTTTTTTTTTTTTTTGTCTTAATCCTTCTGTTCCTTTTTTTTTTCTTAACGACCCGCCCGCCCGCAATTTGCTTCCCAACATGTTTTAATGTTTCTAGGCCTCTATGTTTGAGCGACTGTTTCAATGTGCGTTCGCCGCTGTTTATGTCTTGCATGACATCCTGGCCCATACTCAATGCAGCAGGGGCCAAGGTTCTCATCAAGAATGGTGCCGCTCGCTTCGCCAGTCCAGTTATGAAACTAAAAATCCCACCCCCTCGCACATGACGCCTAGTACTGTTAAAAATGCGGACGTCCCCTAAACCGCCCCCTCTCCCGGAAACGGGGGGCGTTAGGAGTATTAATAACTCCTCCACCGACGGCGGGGTAAAATCGACGCGCATTTTGCAACTAGATGCGAGGTAATGAAGATTATAGGCTTCAACGCTCAATTATATAACCCCCAAAGTCGGCCTTATATGCAAAACTGCAATCGTGCAGCCTCGCGCATCGAAATAAACAGGATTGCCTTCTTGATCGGTCATTGTAATGCTCACACTGTCGACAATTGAAGTGTTCAGAGGTTTATATAACTTCTTATTGCCACCGTCACTCCCATTTAAAGAGACAACGTCCAGTATATTGACCAACTGATCACCATAACTCGTAGGCATAATTTTGTCGCAATAAATACACAAATTATCCATCATTCCTCTCGGCTGTGGTGGGTAGACACATAAATCAGTTTCCTTGCCTGTCTCATATTTTATACCCCTGATTAAATATATGACATAATCCTCACCTGTCTCGGCGCCTATTACCTTCCCGATCGCACGCCCGAACGATAGCGAAATTCGGCAAACCATATTATATACCTCTTCACCTGGTCTTTGGAACTGCGACATTATGGCGTCGCTGTATACGGCACTAAATTTATTGCGATTATAGCTTGAATCGTATTTTATATACGTTGTTCCGTATTTTGGATACAGCTTTTTATAAGCTTTATCTATAAAGCTCAATTCCTTGCTTGACAATATATTGGCTATTTCATTGTTAATTGCATTATTAATTTCCTTTATGCTTCCTGCCAAAATGTTGTTTTTCAGTAAAAACTTCGAATAGGTGTGTTTAAAGCCCGTCATTTGTACATTGGTGCATATTAAACCAACCCTCACATAACTCTCTAGATCGTCTTTCATAATCACGTAATGAGATGTGGGGAGCAATAATTTCTGTAAACACATTTCATAGGCGCGCTTGGGATTCAAATTTAATTCCTTATACAAGCGATTTGAAAAAGAGCTGGGAATGTTATCAGGATACAGATCTGCATTGGCAACGTTGGTCGCGTATATGATGTGAGTGTCCATTCTGGCGACAGTACCAGGTCACGGGCGGGCAATGAATAAATGCTCAAATCGCCGTAATTTGTTTTTAATATGCCAACCACGAGGGGGCGACCCGATCCCCGCGACCACCGACCTTGACCCGCTTAGGAGGGAGGTCAGAGGCCGAACCAGACACGCCCCGTCTCCTGTTAATTCCCTCATCGTTAACCTGTCTGCGAGCCGCGGTGTTTCTAAATAGATCCATAGGGATTGAAGCCACATTAAAAAATAATTTTGCTAGAGGTAGTTTAGTAGGGGCAAATAAAGCATTGTGGACCGTCATCCCATATATAATATCATTAATTATATGCAAACCAGCCACAGGACTCATTATATTGCCATTAACGTCCCATTTAACAAGCCCACTCTCGTCGAAATATTTTAAAAGTGCCCTTGCATATTCGTGATGTATCGCTTTTAATCTCAGATTTATCAGATGTGCTACAGTAGGATTAGATCTTTCGGGCTGGGCGTTCTCAGTCGTCTGTTGCGGGGGCGTTGGCATCGGTATCTCTGGCACTGTCGGCAAAGGGGACGGCACTCGCTCGTCCATTATTTTCCGCGGGACTAAATAATACTCTCTCATTTGGTAAATAAACGCGACAACAGATTAACGGCAATGGGAAGGAGAATAGATAGGATATTACCACCCCGTTTGCTAGTTAATATTTTTTTTTTAATTGCCGTGGAAGGTTTTTTGCAAGCTACCACACGAATTAATGAACTATATTTTTTCAGTTTTTTTAAAACCTTGCTAGGCACGGGCAATTTATTTCTTAAAAGATTTTTAAATATTTCCGATAGGCAATTTATGTGTGGCTTTTTGAATTTTTCAATTAATTTCTTTCTGCTAGAGTACTTAAGACCGGCTAATAGTCTTATCAGATCCCAGTATTTCTGAACTAAAGGCTCCTTCATAGTTTCAGTACGTCATCGGCGTCGACCCATTGGTCGAATGATTGATCATAACCCTCGTATCTGACTTTATATTGCAACCGACCGTCGACTTCTCTCTTGCTCAAAACCTTTTCAATATTGAAGGCGGCGGGCAAATGGGTGAGGGTTAGTTCTTGTCTATAAAACCCCCCGTCAATATTGCCACCGTTCAAATCTTTCAAATAGTATAAAGGGACCCTCTGGCTATTGTCCACTCGCGCGATTGTGAAGATTTCTCGCGTATTCTGCTGTTTGAAACCTTTTTTAAATTTCGAAACGCGATCAGATAAAGTAATGCGTACTGTTTCGCCAACCTTCAGCTGTGGAATGATGCCCCGCGATGTTTTGCCTGGGTTTTTATACATTAAGTTAAATAGATTGACAATCTCTCTTGGTTTTGTTAAAGCATGCACCTCTCTGGGGGTTCTGCCCCCCAACCCTCGGTGAGGCGAGACATTATATGTTTTTACAACGTCAGGCAGCACCCCTATATATTTCAATGTGTTGTGCGAAGTCATATACTTGTAAAGCTTAGTTTTCAAAGTACGTATGAATCTTTCGGCTATGGATGCTTTTGTTTCCTGAGAAAATACACTATACAGCACAATTTTCTTAGAGGCCAACATCTTTTTCACACGCGCGTTGTAAAATTCACCCCCGCGATCTGAATTAATTTTCCGCACCCCGCGCGAGTGAGGTGTCTCTAGTATAGATTTTAGTGCCCTACACACAATGTTCGCGTCTTTACTAGTTAGCGGCACTACTTGAGCAAACCTGGAGTATATGTCCACACAAACAAGCAGATATTTGATGCCATTATTCATCCCTGCCAACTTCCCCATTTCTGCTAGATCAACAGACACATAAACCCGTGGTTTAGGACTCAAAACTCGTCGACGCGCGAATTTTTTAGGTTGTAAATAATGCAGCGTATATGCGTCTGAGGATTTTAAGTAATCTTTCACATCGGCCAGTGTTATGTCAGAATTAAGTAATTTAGCTGCTTTATATAATCTCTGCACGCCTCCAAATCCCCCAGTGGAAGTAGGATCATTATAAACTCGATCGAGTATTTGCTGTTTCTTGCTCACCATTGATAAACTATTTCAAATGGTTTCTCTTCGACAATATTCCCGCGCAAAGTTATGCTGGCGGGTGTGCTTGACCCGAGATCTACAAATAAATAACCATAGGGTTTGGCTATGACCTTTTTATATATTTCTAGAAATTTCTTTGAATCCTGTTTCCCAAATATTTGACGTCCCAAAGTCTCAATTTGAGAAAGATCTCTTGATTTGACTAATAAGAAATGCGAGGCATTTAGGCTTATGTTCCTAGAATATTTTCCAGGGAAAAATATATTTTGCGTGATCAATATGGCAGAGATGTTATGATGCCCCCTGGTGAAAATATCAGAAACCATTTTTGAATTTGCGCTTTCAGTAAAGAGATCGTCGATTATTATCAGCATTGGGGAATTATCCATTTGCTCATCCAAAGGATCAATAATGCTCGAATGAGCAACAATTTTTCTATTAATTTGTGGATTGTTCATCAACTCAGAATATCCCCCACCACATATAATTATTCGAGCGAATGTTTCATGGTACTTGTGCACGAGTTTGTTGCATAAAAATGATTTCCCTGCATTTGAATAACCCGCTATTATCATCCGACATGGTTCCCTGAAGATGTTAAGATGGGCTTGAGATATTATCTCATCAGGTCTTTCCATGTTTGGGGCAGAGTCTCTACTGTTTAATATGTGCACTGTGGAATGTTATATATATATATATATATATATATATATATATATATATATATATATATATATATATATATATATATATATATATATATATATATATATATATATATATATATATATATGGGGGATATAAAAAACATGTATTTCTTTCTTTATAGAAACATATAATATATAATATATATATATATATATATATATATATATATATATATATATATATATATATATATATATATATATATATATATATATATATATATATATATATATATATATATATATAGATAGATAGATAGATAGATAGATAGATAGGTCATAGATAGATATACAAGCTTAGGGCGTAACAAAGAAATATAGATATACAAGCATTAAAAAAAAGACGTACTTTTTTGTTTATTGAAATAAAACATAATATATACATATTTACAAGCTTAAATCTATAGGCATAATAATAATAAGTAATAATAATAACATCCCTTTTTAACATTATAACATAATAATAATAAGTAATAATAATAACATTATAAAATAATATAATAATAATAACAACAATAATAATAAAATTATAAAATAATATTATAATAACAACAATAATAATAACACGCACTAATGTGAGAATGCAAACAGTTTTTTTTTTTAAATGCAGAGGAGCGAGCATATTTCACAGCAAGTTTGGGAATAGGTTTTGGGCCAATGAATCTCTCTTGGCCCACATATTGAAAATTGGGTAATGACGCCGTCCTGCAGGGTGTATATTTTGTTCCACATTTTCCTGCGCGTCCACATCCATCTCTAAGTCACTAATGACTTCCTCCTCATACTCTGGATCGTGTGGAATATCGGGGTGACCATAAGCGAGTGAAACGGTGGGGCTTATTACGTATCGCTTATCATCAAACGCGGATAAGCCTCTCTTGACAGTAACGCATGTGCACATTTGCCCGCCAACATTTCTAATAGACCTAGTCACAAACCTCCGACTTGTGTTTGTTTCAAGGGCGTCTATGAAAGATGAGTGTTCTAGCCCAGCTTGCTGACGTCGTGTGATCCCCTTGCATCTGCAAATGTGCTGTTTATCCAGCGTCACTAGCGAGTACATTTTGGGCTTAAGGGCAACGAGCTGGGTTATAATTTTAGACCCTACTTCGGACTTTAAAAGACCCAGTTTGCCTTTTCGCGCGATTGAATATAGAGAATGATCTTCGGGGAAATTGCTAAAATCAATGTGGCGTATGAGCGGGGCCTTATTAAGCTCTTCAAAAGCATCTCTGCAAGTAAGCTGAATAATGTACGAGTCAGTGTCGGTGTAGAGCAGTTTTGCCTTGTCACCATATTTCGCTTTGACCGTGTCGTACCAAAAGGAATATAGCAGCCTTTTAGCTATTTGAAGAATTTGAAAGCCTAGATATGTGGGCGTGTCGATAGTGAGCGAATCTTTGCGGGTCGTGCAAAGGACACGGTCCTCACTCAGCAAAGTCACTCGTTTGAAAAACGGGTCGCGCGCGTGTTTGAGGAACTGTTTGCGAGTTGTGGTTAAATAGTATTTATTGGCATAACGCTCCAAATTCGTTAAAGATTTGCCATATATTGCGTTATTTACAAGTTTAAATGCCTTAGACTTAATTGCACAGGTCGAGTTTGTGCGCTCGCGAATATTGCTATCTACGAAGGACTTGAGGTGTGCCCTCTGCTCGAATTCAAAGATAGTGTGCACGCGCGAAACTTCCACCCCTAGTCGCATTAAAAGCTGAAGCAAATCTAGACTAATTAAATAGTCGCGTTGTGCTTCGTGGGTGGCAATGAGTTTTCGATTATTGCGCGGCAGCTTGCGATTTTCCGCAACTAGGATCGACTTGCTGTATTCTGACAGTTGTTCCGTCACGATGTCGGCGTGTGCTAAAATTAATGGCAGGTCGTCAGTGTATCTAGCTACGTCGGGGGAAACTTGTTTAGTGTCGCACAAAATCCAATAACCGCGCTCTTGATTGCAGTCAATATTTCTCAAACCCTACAATAGCATTTCATCGCCAGTTAGGCAACGGAAACCGCCAGTGGGGAGCTTTTCACTCATGCACGTAGCATAGAGTGAGTTGAAATCGAGATAGAGGATGTGGGTTCCATCCTCGCCAGACCCCGCCCCGGTGTAATGGTTCTCGGCGGTAGACAATTGCTTTACAACTGAGGTAAAGCCTCCTCTTAAATTCCTGCGAATGAGGTCATACATTCTAGGGTCTGATATTGGATCTAGCACCACCTTACTTTTGAACAGGAAGGCGTCCCACGCGAAACTAGATAAAGAGAGGTAATATGCAATATCTAATCTATAAAGATCTAACATAGTGCGTCGCCACACCGTGAAAATGTCGGCCAAAATGCCAGTATCAACTTTTAAATACAAGACGAGATATTCGCCAATATTGCGACACTTGGCTAATTTAAATACCTCCAACGCTTGTTTGTATCCTTTTTCAGGGAGCTCTTCCTGCGTTAAGGTATTGAAAAATGCATCTCTGGGGGGGAGCCGCGGTTCATTTAATACATCCCAATTTGATACGTAATCATAACAAAAGGACTGTTTGCCAGTTAACAATAAATTATGGGCTTTAGAAGGGACCTTATCTAACATGGCGAGAGTGAACGTCGTAGGTTTGCTGCTGTCGATGTGTTCCTTGGCTAATTTGGCCAATGACCCATTGAGCAAGGCTAAGCTGTCCATAAATCTAAGAAAGTCAATGTCAATTTTCATAAATTTATACCCGTCTTTGGACATAATGTCTACGTTGCGTTTGGGCACGTTTCCTAACTCGTTTAACAAAACCCCTAAATCATACGCCGCATTATGTGAAAATGCGTGCAAGTATTTGTAGCCATCTTTGCACTGGAGATTGCAGCGAGAGCATAGGGCGGCTAAGTAATTATGTTCGCTCAGTGAATGATCGTGGTGCCTATTTTTGACGATTTTGGGCCCGAAAGGTTCGTCGCATATCTCGCACATGGTCTGACTCTTGTAAATTTCCTTTTGCTCATTCGACATGTGCAGATGGTAATATGGCTGTTCTCGCGTTATTCTGGCCCACGAGGAGGATAGTTTATTAACAAAATGGGTTGCAGAATTAGGCCCGAGGTAGAAATCTTTTTCTACGATATTATAGCGACGGTCTATGATTATGTACGCATATGCAATGGCCCTGTGACGTGCTTCGATTATGCCCTGTGGCCTATCCTTTTGCAGGGCGCACTCGAAATCATAATAGCACGTGTGGCTTGGCCCGTACGCTCGCCCGAAATGTTTAAACTCTATTTTCTTTTCTGGGGAAGGAAAATGCAACGTTTGTTTGACCTCGCAAGTTGATTCATGCTCGAGCATTTGATGGGGTGGGGGGGCGATAAGACAGCTGTGACAAAAGCTATAATCAGCTGGGATGTTTTCCGAATGAGACCTCATATTACGCGCATATTTGGCAAAGTTCTTGATGAGGACCAAATGTTGGCCTTCCAGCATAAGTAAAGATATAACATCCTTAAAATCCCCACGGCCTTTTCTAGCCAAACTAATGTAATGACGACCATTATCTCCTTTTGCCAGAACATAAATAAATATAGAAGACCTGTTTAAATCTTCGACTTTGGCGATGTCGTCAAAAGATACTGGGGTGCCTATATTATTACTCCATCTTACTTGTTGGCGACACCATCGCCCAGATTTGGCCTGATTTTTTATGTCGTTATAACGGAGCCCGCGGGCCAAACATTTGTGCACAGCGATGCACTGCATAAGGCAAATATTGGCTTCCCCTTGGGGGTTGAATATGTGGCCTTTGCCCCGTAACTTGGCCGGGTAATCTACGAATGAACCCAGCCGAATTGGGTGTTCGATGAGGGCCACATTTATGTAAAACCCCGAAATCGACTCTATCCCGACACTCGACCCGTCCTGTTCCCCTAGCAACTCCTCTAGTTTATTGTCGATCTCTTCGACCCACAAATTAACAAGCTGTTCTACTTCCTCTTGAGTTATGGCACGCATTTCCCCGCGCATGTGCATTACTGGATCAAAATCATCGTCGGGCTCTACGTTGAGCCTCCGCACCGCAAAGGTGAAATCTGGGAAGAGTCGAATATGTGGATGTTCTAAAGTAAACAATCCACTGACGAAATTAATGAAAAATGCGCGATATGTTCGTAAATAAGCCCCTGGATCACCCCGCACGTGCTCTGGCACGCTAAATGAATAGCGTGTGTAAGCCCCATTGAAATTGCGAATGATGTTCACAATTTCAATATCCCGAGGAGGGGGAGGGGACGGAGAAGGTGGTGGTGGTGGTG